AGGATGCCCAAGCCAGGCAGGAGGCATGCGAAATAGAGGAGAGATACTAGAGTTTTGAGGTCCTTAAAACCATCAAGAAATCAAAAATAAAGTCTTACAAAATACTCTAAAATATCTTTTATTTATTATACCCTTGCAGGGTATTATAATTTCAGTCAGAAGTTTGCAACGCAGTGAAGGAGGCACCTCCGACTATATAAAGTATATATATTCTTGATCAGGATCAACAGCCGAGTCGATCTAGCCATGTCCGTCTGTCCGTCTGTCCGTCTGTCCGTTTCTACGCAAACTAGTCTCTCAGTTTTGAAGCTATCTGAATGAAACTTTCTAGTTAGCCTTCTATATACTCTCACTCGTATATATGTCGGAACGGGCCGGATCGGACGACTATATCATATAGCTGCCATAGGAATGATCGGAAAATTTTTACAACAAAATTTTAACTTTTTCAGTTTTCAATAGAATTGGATCAAATTTGAGATATAGCCATTTTACTATACTCTACAGTTTTGCATAAAATTTTATGAAAATCAGACTAGTATATCATATAGCTCCCATAGGAACGATCGAGAAATTAATACAATTAAATTTATAACCTTTTTAGTTTTCAACTGATTTTCATCAAATTTTAGGTATAGGCATTAAATTTAAGTCTTAATTTTTGTGGTAAATTTCATGAAAATCGGACGACTATATCATATAGGTGCCATACAAACCATCGTTTGATGTGGAGGAAAAATGCAAATCAGTGAATGTAAAACTGCAAATATAATATGTATAGGTGAATGAAATGAAAGCAGGTATTACTTCATTGTTTTTTAACACAAAGATATATAATTTGTATTGTATGGTTTTTTATTCATAGAAGTTCTATCTGCAAGGGTATATAAACTTCGGCGTGCCGAAGTTAGCTTCCTTTCTTGTTTTTCTTATATTCAATAAATTTTCCCTAATTTGAAACATTTTCTAGTAAAACTTTACAATCCCCTCTCTCTCTCTCTGTACGCACACACATATTTGGCTTGGCTCGATTTCAGGACGAATGCAGGAGACCATCACTTGGTTGCACCCCCCTCTGGCCACGCCTCTGGAATTTTTGTGTGTATTTCTTTTTTGTTTTGTACATTTTTTTCCATCGTTTCTTTTTCATTGAATTGACTTTGGCCTGGTTGCATGTCCTGGCCACTGATCCTGACTCCTGACTCCTGGACTCATGTGCCTGTTGTTATTTTATTTTTTTTTCGGGCTACTGGCTGAGTGCCTGCTGTCATCATTGCCTCGTTCATCGACACTTTGCTTTTTAATCAATTTAACAATTTTTTGTTCGTCCTTTCGAGTCCTTGTTTCGGAGGAACGCTTTTCAAGGCGCCGGACGATACGTTTTGGCATTCTGAATGCTGAAGGATGTGGCGAAATCTAGTGATGTTTTTACAAAAAAATAGGTACAACTATCGTTGCGAATAATAATAATAATTCGATAAATATAAATATAAACGATAAGTAAAGTTTGGGATTACATTACATTGATATTGAAATTATTATTATTAAACATTATAGACTTTAATTTGAGCTAAATATCATGAATTTAAAAGCTGAATCCTTGAATAAATTACTATAAATTATAAATAATTTGGAAAAAATACTTAAGTTATCGATATTAATCTGTAATAATAATAAGACACTATTAAACCTCCTTGACTTATGTATTGAAGCATCATTTTAATCTTTGACTAAATTATAACAAGTTATTAATAATCAATTTTATACCCTTAAGTTATCGAAATGAATATCCAATATCTACTAAATTATCGAACTACCTTTATTAATATATCGATATTTACTGTCATCGCTAAGGTTCTTTGTCTCTCCTTTCTCCTTTCCTTCGATATATCGAGTATATGCAAGAGTAATTGGCAGTTCGACTCCATTGAGTTTTAAAACTCTAGAGTTTGAGGTCTGGGGGCCTTCCATTATTGCTCCTGGCACTCAACGCATCCTTTCGGATCCTTGGATCCTTGCTTGAGTTCCCCTTCACCCTGTAAACGTTGACATTTCTATGTGCATTTGCTAATTAGTTTGCCCAGGCATCAGGACATGTGTCCTGTCTCTACTCTTTCGAAGCTCTCAACTTGAAATAAAAATTCATTTTTGTTCATTTTTTGCAAGGCATTTTTTCCTATGCCTTGTTATAGTTTTTCTTTTTTGGAATCTGTCTAAAAAGGAAATGAACTCATCAGTTTGTTTGTTTGTTTGTTTGCCTTTCTTCATTCTTGTGCCCATCCATGGCTAATGAAGTTGATTTGCCAGTAAACATAGGACGATGTCGAAAGGATCTAATGAAATGTCCACTGGCATTGAACTGGAAATGAGTTAATCGAAGTGGGTTTTATCCCCTTTTTTTGGCATTGCAAAAAACTCATTAAGATGCTTAACAAATAGAAAACAATCTCTTAGTTAAGCTTACAAAATAACTATTTACTGAATAATTCAACTGATTAGATGTTCTTTTTCTAAATAATTTCTAAATTAACCATTATTAGATAAAGTGTCAATTAGTATTTTGTTGAGATCTAAATTTCCCTTTGGCATTTTCCAGTTTCCTTTTACGGCACTCCTTTTTTGGTTTAATTTTCATGTCCATTCTCATTTTCATTCTGATCATCGCTTCATCTAATCTCCCCCCTTCTCCTTTCGGCTAATGAAAATGTTTTCCCCGAGCGTCTGAGATGCACATTTATAATTGAACAATTTACCAGTTTTCCACAGCTACAAAAATAACTTTATCAGGCAGGTCTAGTTTTGTGGCAGCAACATTGGCATCGGGCAACACTAAGCAACTGCAGCAGCAAACAGTTAACGCAGTTAAATATTTTCCGCTTAATTTAACAGGAATTTCAATTGACAGACGTGAGCATGGCGTTGTGGCTTTGGTTTTACTTGTTGTTGTAGTTGTTGTTGTTATTGTTGTTGTTGTTGCTATTATTGTTGTTATTGTTGTTGTTGCTGTTGCTGCCGCCTGGGCAACGCATGATTTATGCACTCACACTTGTCGAGTCGAGGAAGAGATAGTTGCTGTCAATTTTCATTTGGGAATGTGCATATATCGAAGGGGAGTGAGCAAAAATATATCGAATTTTTTTGATATGTTGAAAATATTATAAGAATTAAGATATTAAATTTGGGATTGATTATGAAAACAATATAATATTTTAATTAATTAGTACAATTAAGTACTCAGGAAAATTAACGAAAATATTGGGGGGTTTATCAGTGATTTATTATAGATCAGATGAGGAAAATTTGCTTTTTTAAAGAAAAAACTTTTTTATTACCAACAAAAAAGTATCGAAAATATCGAAAATTCATAGTATATTATCGATAAATAATTAATACCTCAACATAATTAATAATCACCACAATTTTTCCAAGTTTCCCCACAAGTTTCACTTCAAATGAAAACCCCCCACACAAACCATATTAATAAACTGTGATATCGATATCGATATCTGTGCCATCTCTAAGATGCCGTCAATATCCATTAGATGCTGACCTTGTCAACATGTTGCCAAGCAAATGCAATGTTCGTTGCAGCAGCAGCAGCAGCAACATGCGCTGGCGTCGCTGCTGTGGCTCGTTTAGAGTGTTGTTGCCGCGTTAAGTTGACAATTTACTGACAAATGTGTAAATTGCATTTGATCTTGTTGCCGTTGTTGCAGCAGCCGCAGCAGCAACAACAGTCGACGCAGTAGCCACTGCGTTAATTTATGCGCCTGGCATTTCAAGGCAAAAGGCGGGCAACAATAACCGAGGGGGTAGGAGGAGGAGGAGCAGGGGGCTGCGGTTCGACCTTGATCACTTCAGCTTCCGCATTTTACAGTTACGTTCTCGATTCGTTCTAAGCAACAGCAGCGACTGTCAAGTGGCTTTTGTTTACGTTTTAAATTTTGTTAAACGAAAGTCGAACAGTCAACCTAGGCTAAGTTAGTTAGTTGGGTTAACCTAGTTTAAGTTAGTTATTCTTTAGCTTAAGATAATATTCTATAACTTAAGGCACAGTATCTTAAATTATAGGTCTAAAGGTAACCTTTAGATATATAATTTATTGATATTTTTATATGAAAATTTTTGGGACAAAATTAAAGTTTAAAAAATTCATAAATAAGCCAAAATTCAGTAATTTTGATTCGGAATACTGTGCTATGTTAGTTTTCAGTAGGTTAAAAAATCTGCATACTCAATTAAAAATTAAGAACAGTTAAAATTTTTTTCCAATTTTTTTTTTTACAATTTTAACGATAAAACCCCTTACAAATTTTGAAAAAAATTTTGAAAATGTATTTTTCTGCCGGAGTTGCCTAAATCGATTCGGCTGTTGATGCTGATCAAGAATATATATGTTTTATGGGGTCGGAAATTATTCCTTCATAACCTTTTAAGCTTCTGACTAAATTATAATACCATTTTTAGAGCCGATATTTATATATATTTTTATATAACATTTTTGATAAGACATAAAATTTAAAAATCGCATAACTAAGCCAAAAATGCATTAATTTTAATTCGGACAGTTGCCCTATTTTAGTTTTTAACAGGTTAAGAAATCTGCATACTCAATTTAAAATTTTAAAAGTTTTCATTTTTTTTCAATTTTTTTTTGACAATCTTTAAGATATAAGCCTTAAAAAAATGGAAAAAAATTGGAAAGTTTATTTTTCCGTCGAAAATGCCTAGATCGATTTGGCTGTTGATGCTGATCAAGAATATATATGAAATTTAGGGTCGGAAATGATTCCTTCACCCTGCAAGAGCAGAACACTCTAGAAAAACTATCATATCTCCTGCCAGAAATCTACAAAACTTGAAACCAAGCTTTCAAAATCGTTAACATATTATATTATATATTATATTATATGTTATATTATATTTTATATATTTAAAGCAGTTTTTTCTGCTTAAAAGTACATGAAGTGTAGAAAATATAGATTGTATTTGGGACTCACCTTATGGGCTTTGATGGATGTGCCCTCTGAACAAACTAATGTGACGTCCACCAGGCTCCCGTCTTGTAGTAATTGACTAAACACCCCTAACAGGTTGGATTGGTAATTGTTCCACCTCAAGCAGTAGTGCTCACTGCCCATGTCGGTGACAGCTTACGCTGCTGCAAAGTACAGAGAATATATAGAAAAAATACTATATAATAAAGATAAATATATATAAAAGAATATAAGGTATAAGTATAGCTATATTTGTATGCAATATTATTGGTTAATTGTTGAATCATTTCTTAATTTCAGTTAATTGAAATTGCGTAATCAATCGTGCCTATGCCTAGGTGTATCTCTCATTTAAGGCTGTATCTTTGTATCTCTCATGTAAGGCTGTATCTTTGTATCTCTAAGTAACATTGCAGCGGTATCTTTAGATGCAATTAATGCCACATACAAAATGCCAAAGCATATTGCAAAATCTTGCCCAGAGTTCACAAATGTCACTGCCATGCAGCAAAACAAAAAATATCTATAAACATATATACAAATATTCAGGGGGTTTATCAAGGGGGAGGTGAGGTGAGGCTATTGGGGGCGTGACTAGGCGTGTCACAGCATTATTTCCATACCAAAAAAAAAAAAAAGAGAAACAACAACCCTGACTTGGCAGTATTTCTTGGCTTATTTTTATAGCAAATATTTACCCACAAAATCAAAATAAATATAAAAATTTAACTTAAAATTCACATTATAAACAAAAAAAAAAACATTCTAATTTATGCACAAAAAGCTCCTTAGAATTAAGAAAATAATACTCATTTTTTTCCCCCCACAATCTCTGCAACTTTACACACTTCCATCGGCCAATTAACTTGAGCCTCGATTTTTAATTGTCTTTCTCGCCATCGAGGCATTCATTTTGATGGTAAAATAATTAATAGAACCTCTGGCAATCAACGTAACGATCTGCAGGTTCTCAAATTAGGTAAACCTTGGTTATAGGAGAAATGTGCAAACGATGCCAAGCAACCGATCTCAACTTTAATGCAACAAACACACATCCGGCCCCCTTGTTTTGATGGCCAACTGTCGTTCCTTCTTGGCTTTCAAGTAGAAAATATAGCAGGGAAAAATAAGGTGAAAAAAAGAAGGAAAACCAAAACAAGACAAGACAAATAAAAAACCGTACCGAAATAATAACGAAGCAATAAACTCTGAATTTATTTCAACAAATAAAACTTTGATTTATTGCAGTACGCACCGGGCACACAGCATGCAACGGTTTTGGGTGCCAAAAGCAGCAAAAGCAGCAAAAGGTGCACCTCCCCCTTCCTGGGGATCCCCCCCTTGAAGCGATTTCCCAGCTCGATAACGATATTATAGAGGAGTTTCGAATCTGAACCTGAATCTGAGTATCGGAGAGTATCTGAATCTGAGGCCATTGCGATCGTAAAGCGTAAATTACGCATGCATTTTGTTACTACTACTGATTCCCCGCTATCTCTCTCTCTTTCCTTGATTTTCCTGCGGAAAATTCGTGCAAAGTTTGAGGGGAAAGCGGGAGAGGGTTATACACACTGCACCTAAAGGAAAATGTGTGTACTAATAAATATTTTCTATATAGAGATAGATCTATTAGTACATATTATTATATATATTTATTTATTTAATCTATATATATTAGTTTATTATTTAATTTAAATTATATAAGTGTTGAACAAATCATGTTCATATTTGACTTGATAGGAAGAGTTAAATTATGATTGTTTTTGGAAGGAAAAATGTTTAGTTCTTAATGAAAATTAAATACGAGATATAGTTCCTAATAAGATTATATAAAAATTAGTTTTCCTAATGAAACTTATAAACAAAATATAGTTCTTAAAGAAAATTAACAAAAAAATATTGTCCTCTTTTAATACTTAAACTTATGTACCTTTTTTTAAATCTTTTAATTATGAAACTCTTTGTAAAATATTTAAGTTCCAATACTTATTCATAAAGAAAAGCTTCATTATTATTATAATTCATGTCCTACATATTTTTAAGTAGACAAACTTCACTATTTACTATATTATATTATTTAACAAATACATACTTTAAGCCTTTAAATACATACTTTTAACTTATAATTGTATTTTTGTTTATATATTTAAAATAGCTTCATAGTTTTGTTAACTTTAATAAATTTGAAATACATCTTTAAGCTGATAATAATAATATTCTTGCTTCATTTAAAATATAAAATATATTGCAAGTAAATATGTCTTCATTTAATATATATAATATATATTTAAAATAAATTGGTTCAAGTTTACCATATTTTTTGGCTTCATTTAGTATATTTGAAATATTTAAAATCCTTTTTTAAGTCTTATAATATTAATTTAATATTTTTTCTATATATATTTTTCTCGTAACCTTTTCCCCGAGTCTTGCCAAAGAGCTTCCCATTCAGTTAAAGATCGCTGGCAAAAAGAAAAAGCCAAAATGTTGGCCTGGAAATTATGGCCCAAGTGGCGGGCAACACGCAATGGCTAAAGGTCGCAGCAATAGCAGCAGCAGCAACAACAGCAGCAACAGCAGCAACAGCAGCAACAGCAGCAACAGCAGCAACAGCAGCAACAGCAGCAACAGCAGCAGCAGCAGCAACAACGGCGACACAACAGCAACTTCTGGACGGTCTTCTTGTATTTATTTTCTTTATTTTTCCATTTGCATGCAACGGCAGGTCGACACTTAATTAAGAGAAGTTGCCAGTGGCCATGTTGCTGCTGTGCAGAGATGTTGCTGCTGCAGTTACTGTTGCTGCTGCTGCTGCTGTTGCTGCTGTTGCTGCCCACGCATGATTTTTGAATTAGCGCTGTGTGTAGTAACAACAACTAATATAATTGACAGTTGTTGCTGCCGCTGCTGCTGCTGTTGCTGACTTGCCTACGTGTTCTGTTGCAGACGTCAATGACTGCCTGCGATGCATGCTAAGTAGCAAAAATATAAGCAAAAAAAAAAATACATAAAAAAAATGCAAAACAAAACTAAAAAACCCAAAGAAAAAACTATAAAAAAAGGAGAGAAAAAACACCAACAGCTAGAGAAAGCCGCTAAAAAAAATTTGCTAAAGAATGGGTAAAAAATCGGCTGTGTTGCATGCAATTTGGGTCTGTTAATTGTTGTTGCTGCTGCGATTTATGCCGTTTGCATGCTAATTATGTGGCCAAGGGGGGCAGGGACAGAGAGAGAGAGAGAGAGAAAGAGAGAGGGGGGAAGGCAGCCTGGGGGGGTGGCCAAAAGAGGGAAACCCAAGAAGGAGAGGCAATTACTGACAACTAAATCAGTCAAATGATGAGCAGCTGCTGCTGCTACCTATAGAGTTCTTGGCCAAGTTAATGAGCAGCGTAAGACAGGCAGCCGCAGAAAGCGGAGCCAGCCGGCGATCTCCCACCGTGCACAGTGGTCAAGATGCAAGCCCATTCTCACATTTGTGTGTGTGTTTTTGTTTCTTTTTTTTTGGCCTTTTGTGGGCTTCTTTTCAATTAAAGACCCCCGCTGCCGGTGAAGGTACACCTGAACTCAGTCAGCATATGTTGGAGATGCACTGGGCTTTAAAGGGGAAAACTTTGGCTTTAATTAAGTTATAAAATTTTTATTAAAAAAAAATCAATTAATTATCATTTATTACCCTTTGATTTTGGGATTCATAAAACCTTTTCTGAAGTAAATACGCCGAAGGAGAAGATTTTTAACAAGGAAAAGGTTACACCGACATATAAAATCTTAAAAAATAATATCGATAAGAGATTTACTTCGATAATAAATCGATTATTATTAAATTTAAACATTTTCTACTGATAGCTTAAACAGGAAAAGGATATAGTAACAAAAACATATACATAAATCTTCAGAAAACCTTTAGAAATAATATAGAAAGGATCCATTCTCCAAAGATAAATGTATAAAAATTAAATATAACATGTTTCTCAAGTTATTTAAGCAGGGGAAAAAGCTGACATAGAAATCTTTTGGAAATTCTTTCAAAATTATATAGATAAGTGCTGGATTTCAATAATAAACTGTAAACATTTAATATATAATTTTCTATTGATATTTTTAGGTTCAGTATTTGTTTAATTTGATATTTGTTTTGTTTTTGTGCTTAGTCGGCTAATAAATATTATATATTTTGACTTCTTAAACTTATATTTTTCTTTAAATGCACTGCAACTGCAACTGCAACTTCTGCTGCTGCTGCACTCACTAGATGTTGCTGCTGCTGCAGCCGCCGTTGGCCTAAAACTCATTAATATTGAAATTTGTTCGTGTGCATGAGTTATTAGCAATTTTCTAATTAAGGCTCCCTGACGAGCCGCCAACGATTCTTGGGCCCCGCACCATCCTCATGCTTGGCCGCTCACCTGAGGCAGGCGCCTGAGTTTTCCCCTTCCCTCGGAAACCCCCTCTCAAGCCTCCTTCCCAACCCCTTCTTCGGGAACCATGTCACACCCACAAGAAGGCGGCCAACCGGGCGTTTTGCCTTTCATGTCTTGTCTTCAAGTCTTTTCATGAACGCTTTTCCTACTGGATATATATATATATATATATATATATATATGAAATTTGCATTTGATTTATTTATTTATAAACTTAATTACCGCGAGGTTTTAGAAGTGGGCGTGGCCCTATATAGAGTGTGAGCAGTTATCCAATGAGGAAGGCGGTATAACCAACGATTTACCAAGATTAACAGTACAAGATTATATTTGCCAGAGAAAAGTAGCAATTAGTACTTGATTTGAGGCTATAAATTATTTAATTATATATATAATTATAGTTTTCCATGAAATTTTCTATAATTTACTACTAATTTCTTGATAATTTTCTTGAATTTCCTTCTAGCTTCTTGAATACATTTCCTAGTCTTTTGCATAGCCCAGTTTTTTCTTTTAGATGGCAATCAAAGTCAAAGTCAAAGCCTGGTCACTGGTCACAAGATCAGACAATGATCAATGATGATCTCTCTCCAACTCCAAGCAGTCCCGAAAGAGATTCAAGTGATCCTACGGATTCGTCCAGGAAGCCCACGCACACGCCACTGCCCACAAATGGTTTGCAAGTTGCAAGTTGCTCGTTGCACGTTGCACGTTGCAAGTTGCTGCTGTTACCGTTGTGACTG